CCCCAAAACCCCAAAACCCCAAAACCCCAAGATTTTATAAAAATATTGAAATATTCATAATGCATAACTCATTTAATACAACACAGTCTGCTTCATTAGCAAATTTGGGCAAATCTTCGTTCATTAACAGAAACTCTAGAACTGCTCTTGGAAGGAGTAATTATACTAGTAACTAAGAATAGATAGAATAAGTGGAACAGTCAATCAGTCTGCTCAGTCACTCAGTAATACAACTCTGCCACCGGTGAATAAAAATTTGCTTCAGAATAACAACCATTACTTTAGGTAACTTTTACTCCTATCTAATAGTGGAAACCAGTTCTTGAATAATCAGACCAACATGATGATATCCTACATCAACAATAATGAAGCAATGTATGAAGAAATTTATTAATTTTAGATCAAATCTAACACATGAAACTGCTCCAAACGAGACCAGACAAAGTCCGTTCCAGAATAAGCTCATTAAGAAAAACATTGAAAAGCAAAAGAAACATATCTGGTTCGGCAAGAAATACAAAGGAGGCCTTGATGGTGGAGTTTTAAAGCAGAAAGGTACTAATGGCTAATCAAAGTAGATCCTTATGAACAACCTGAAAAACCTATCCTTCAGAAACCTAAACTTTTAGATTTTGAAAAGTATTCTAACATCTCTGAAGAAGGTGATGACGAGATGAGCCCAACTCCTGGCAAAAACGCTGAAAGCCAGAAAAGTTTTGAAAAGTCTTCTTTGAAGGAAGAAACAAAAGAAGAGAACTCTTCAGAGTCTTCAGACCATGAGTCTGTTCAAAAGCTTTCTTATAAAGAAAATCATACAACTGAATTTTCAGAAGGCCAGTGCAATTTTTGTCTGGATAAGAAATCTCCTCTTGAGCCTATATCTAATTTGTGTATACATAAATTCTGTCACAGATGTATACAACATATCAGGCTTACCTCGAAAAACTCAAGAATGATGGGAGGCCTGATAAGAAATCCTGAAATTCTCTCAGTGAAGATAAAGTGACCATACTGAGGAATTCTCTCAGATAGCTTACTCCCAGAGTCAGAATTCCTCACCAAAGAAGCTGTAGAAAATCCAGATGACATTGATTTTGATACTTGGCCCAAAGTCCAAGATGTCCTAACAAGCTCGAATCCTTCAGTGAAGTGAGAATATTGACCAGAAGTTGGAACAAATAATTTTGCACAGTTTAGATGTCTTACCTGACACATACTAATCTGAAGTTCTTGTAGGAATCACCACCGGGTGATCAGTAATATAATGTCTAATCTATAGCTGAAAAATAACCTAAAACATGATATGGTGCCATTCAATAACCCTAGAATGAGTGAAGAGAAATAAATCATGAGTAGAGCATCGGGAGTTGAGAAAACTCTTCTGTAGCAATTGTCAAGAAGCACTATGATTACTATGTGCCAAAGATCCATATAAACATTATCAGCACAATATTGTCCCATTTAAGGAGTAAGCTTAAATCTCACCACTAGGTTTGTATCAGAATCGTCTGATAAGCAAGGAGAGCTCCGTCTATGTGCTCTCACTGCTCTAAGTAGTATCAAGAATAACCTAAAAGCATTGCAGGCAAACCAGGATTACATCCAAAAGCAAAGAGAATTCTGGGAGAAAAAGTTATCAACAATGTTCGATAATATCTCAAAAATTATCAACAAATAAATTTGACGAAGTCGAGAAGCAGATTGATACTCTATTTAGCAGAGTCAAGAAGTTCAATAATGTATCATATCTCAGCTATGGGTCTCTGAAAGGCAGGCTAGAATATTATCTTGACCTGACTGAGCGCACTTTTGAGCTAGACATAGAACGAGCAAATCGAATGATTGTTCCAACTCTTAATGACTGCAATGACTTTATCCAACTAGACCAAGAAATGTTTAATTTCTCACAGAGCAAGTTTATGAATGAGCCTCTTTTAAAGATAGAAGAGATAATGAAAGATTTTGAATTCATCCCGTCAAAAAATAAGAAATTAAAAAACCTCAAAAGATTCTTGGGATTGATAAAGCCTAGGAAACAAGTACGTCTTGGGAGTGAGGATAAAAAGTCTCAGTATGCAGCTAAATATGCTTAATTCAATCTTCAGATAAAAATAAGGGGTTTTGGGGTTTTGGGGTTTTGGGG